GGGTGTACTAACTTCTGTGATATACTGTATACTTTACTGTAGTAAATAAAGAAAAGTTACTGGAAAAAATAGTAAAAGGTGTATAATATCAAAGTAATATATTGGGATATGCAAGTTAAAGCTAAGTAGTCTTTCGTCATGAGCTTGGTAAGAAATAGGTATACATCCTTAAATTTATCTCATTATATTGAATGGTACTTTAAAAATTGAGTCCATATGTGAGATGTGATGATAGACATATCAGTGCTACCACAAGGGATTGATGAAAATGTATCAGTTCCCTCCCTCTGCAAAAGCAGCTGCAGAGAGGAGCTTGTGGGTTGGGGCAAGGGGAAGGTGGTGGTTAACCTTTTGTTCCCCTATAGATCCATAGTGCAAATGCACCCCCTGTCCATGCAGCTGCTCTTAGCTCTGGAGAGGAAATGCACAATCACCAGAATACATTTCTGTCAGGATCTGGAGGCCAGAGCCAGAACAACCACCACCACTGTATTTGCAGGATCAGTCCCAAGCCCTGCTTGAGCTCTCATTCTACTGATGGGATTCCTGGGGGAAAGCTATATAAGAGCAAGCTCTTCCTTTCAGAAGTGGCCTCAGCAGCATAGGTCTTTTTGCAGGTGCAGTGCCTGTACTCTGCCTGACTGTTCCCGCATCTTCCCTGTCTCCTGCCTTGCTGTGTTGCCTCAGCAGCACAGGGCCTCCTGTTCGCTGCTGTGCCTGCAGCCTCCCTGATCTATCTTGCTCCTGGTTCTTTCTGTGAATCCTGCCTTGCTGTTGTGTCTGTCTCTTACCTGACCAGTATCCTGCCTTGCTGTGCATCTTGCCTTGCTATGTCCCCTTGCCTTGCCATGTCTTCTGCCCTGTTATCTGGTCTGAGGTACCTACACCAATCTTTGTCCTCCAGGTTCTCAACCCTTGGCTTGTTTCTAACGCTGTTCTGCCCTCATGCATATTCCTGGTTCCTGTACCATGACTGTGAATTATACTTGCTATTAAGTCATGCTTTTGGACGCTGTCTAGCTTGAAGTTCTGTTGTTGTAGTGCCTCTGTTGCTCTTGTCTTGTCTTTGACTGTTCATGTCTTGGCCGCAGACTCTGACAATTTCAATTAGTTGCAGAGGGGCAATCTAATCTTATTTCCTCAGACACTTGAGTCTGGTTCCAAATTGTCCTCAGCCCAGTGGGGAGAAAAATAAAAAGACATTGGGCATTTCAGTCGTTGATTCCCACATCTCATGAAGGTTGGCCCTTCAATGGTTTCCTTCATTTGGTTGAAATTTGATAGAGAACTAGCAACGCAAAGCTTATTTATCCATCAACTGTATTCTCTTACTTCAGGTTGGCATCACTCTTTTCACTGTGTCTCACAGAAAGTCCCTCTGGAAACATCATGAAGTAAGATTTATTTAATCTCTGTTTTAGTTGCATAAAATACATGGCTTTCTTATGAAGATCCTTTGATTACTACATCTTTGTGTAAGAATGAAATAAAGAACCTTAAGCTGTTCTAGCGAAGTCCACCAAATAATTGTGGAAGTGTGTATTTGTTGCTTCATTTAATGCATTTATACTCTGCTGCAGCATCCTGGATCAGAGTTTTCTAGCGCCCTTAAAAAACTAGCTGTATCTAGAATATATCAACTGGATTGCAGTATCCAGATGTGATGCAAATAATGCGCGTATCACTCTGGCTGAGTCTACTGTCTTCAGGAACACGCATAGGTGGCACCCAAGGCCAGGGTATTGCTGTAGGCAGTTTTGGATTGTCTAAATCCAAGCTCAAAGCAAGTTCCAAAATAACACCCTGTGGTGAAGCTGTTTTCAAGGGCAGTGTTGCCCCATCTGACACTGCTTGAACCCTTATTTCTCGATCGGTTCTGTTTTCCTTGAGTATCTCTGTCTTGTCTGAATTAAGCTGTTGTCCTCCTCTGGTCCATTACTGTACCTAGACCTCAGTTCAGGGCCTCTACAGCTACCTTGGAATGTAATGGAAAGAAAACCGGATGTAATCCGATTAGTTATAATATCGAATCCTGTAGATAATAAACAAGATGGAACCTCATAGGCCCAGTTCACTGCTAATATACTCTCTGTTTGTTCTTCTCAGTTTTATCTCCACATGGATGGAAGAGGAAACTACGAGTTCAAAAAGATTACTGAGGACACCATTGAATTTGGGTCTTAAATCTCCTAAGTTCCCCGCACACAGCCTGCCACATGCTACTTCAGTGACAGAGAACAGCACAAGGCATATAAAGACTCTAACATACTGACACGATTTGGCTTCTTCAGCTCAGTAACTAGGAGCAGAATAACACACTATCTAGAACAAGCAGTCAGTGCATTTAATATTATGTTGACTACGACTCATTTGTGTATATGTTGGTTTAATTATTAATATGTACTAAGAATATCCATATTCTTATGGTTTTTAAAAGCCTGCCTAAATTAAATTGGGCCTAAGTCTCTGTAATTTTGATTCATCTTGGGATGTAAACTTACTGAAGTCAACTCATTGGACTTCTTTTGGACCTCCACTTCCCCTGGGGAAGAAACCTTGGGTCACTACCTCCTCTGAGCCCAGTACAACACATAGCATTTTTGTGTCATATCCTGGTGCATCAATTGATGATACCAAATATTACGCTCTTTTCAGGGTAGTACTAGCCAAAACTGCTGCGGCATTAAAAGGGTGCTGAACCATTCCTTTTGCTAAGGTTGTGGTGAAGCTCTGCTTGGAATAGTACTGGCTTCAGGGGAAAATTGAGACCCAAAGCTGCTTTTATAACTTCTAAAGAGATGAGTTTATTCCAGTGGAGATCTTGGGTCCCGTTATCTGTTCACAACTTCCCAGTGCGCCTGTTCAACAAAAAATAAGCAGTGCTGTTTCATTTTGTCTTGTTCTCATGGTCGGAATCATTTGATAGCTCTGGGAAGCTGTGTACAAGTTCTAGATAAAATACTGTAGAAATATGCAGCGTGGATTAAGATTTGTCAGAAGGTTATATTTGCATACAGGATGAATTTTTTAAGTGCATGTTTGATTTTTTTAAATAATGTGTAATGCCTGAGACACAGCAAAGCCGTTCAGTACTGATTTTAGGGTTGCTTGATCTTTTCTTTTTCACTTCCTGTGAATGAGTTCCATAAACACTATTTAATTCTTAACCATAGATGAGCACTTCCCAAACTGGTATGAGGTAATTGCAAACTCCTACATGCTGGTAAGGCTATATATAATAGACTTCTAAAAGTATTAATTTTCCCCTGGAAGCAATTCCTGTTGCCACATGATGATAGGGGATCATTGCCTAGAGTTAACCATATAGTTGGAACTGGAAAGACTGGTTGGCGAAACTGTACTAAGCTGCCGTTTAGACTAGACTCTATACAATCCTTAAAAACCTCTGCAATATGACAAAGTCTGGGTATGTGGTACTGTCCATATGGTGTAATATAAAAATACAGTACATGAAGGCATGCAGTACATGAAGGCATACACTACATATGCAAATAAACGTGGTATCTCTTCTTCACTATGAAGTAAATATGAGTTCTTTGTGATTGCACATCAGATGCATATTAACTCCCTTTCATAGTAAGACTGCTACCTATCACAGTTCCAAACTCCAAGTAGAGTTTGTACTTCTCATACTGTTCCCAAGTCCAGAGTAAACTAGCTGTAAGGTTAAAAGCAACTTAGGTCAGAACATCATTTTACACTTGTCTTATTCACTATGGCAAAGAGGTGGCCTTCTGCACCTGTTACCTGTTCAAATAATTGTACAGACTGATTTGGAGGTTGGTTGTGCTAGCTGACACATGCATACAGTGGAATGATATATTGATGACCATATCATAACACACAAGGTTAACATGCTATCGCATGTAGATCAGCTGGCATAATAGATTGGGCAGAGTTCTTGAAGTAAATGCAACCCATATAATCCCTGTTTTTTGGATTAACTATTTTAGTGGCTCTTCTAGAGAGACTGGCTTTCTCAGACACAACTGTTTCTAAGGAACTGCTATATTTTTAGAGTGGAAAAGCTGCTTTTTAAATATTTGTATTCTTTTTCCAGAGAAGTCTGCACTAAACTTGCCTAATAGCTAGAATTGGTTTTTTTTAAGAATGTTATATTTTTAGAAAGCACCCATTATCTATCATTTGCAGAATGTCTGGAAGGAATGCAGTTCAAGACTGGTCAATAGCAACACTGAAGCACAAATAGAGTTAATTTTGCCTGTCAGACAGCGGATTAACTTTGGTAGCCATCGACCTGTGAAACCAGTCCACTGACTTGAACGCTGGATAAGATGTCAAGAGGAATTGGGTATTCAGATATAGCCTATCCTTTTTAATACCAAGTTCCAATTCTGTCATCAAAATAGGCTTGAACCCATGTGAAGCCAAGTATGAATGCACTACGAACTAGAGCAGTGCTCAGTGGAAGCGGTTTTTTGGGATTATGCTTTTTAGTGCAAACATTTTCAAATATTGTGTGAAAAAAATCCAGATACATGGTTCAACTATGAATTTGTGCTATGTTTTTGTACGTTGATTGTTGATTATATGATTGTTTAAACTGGAAGTTTTGGCGAGATGGGGAAAATGGACAAGAATGGAGCATCCCTATGTCTCATATAGAATTTTGGCCAGGTGTTATTTGGTGCTCTGGTAATCACAGATGGCTTCTATTTCAATGGGAGATGATTGCTGTACTTTATTTGTAGCTTGTAAAGCGCTTTAGGAGGAAAAGCGCTGTATAAATGTAAGATTTTTCTATTTAAGTGCCTCTGGAATAATAAATCTGAAACAAAACAACCTACCTTTTTAAAAAATTGATATCAATAGATTGTCATATCCAACCAATTTGGAACCATGCTATTTTTAACTTAAGATGCTGGTCCCAGGTAAAATGACACATGATCACATGTTTACCTAACTAAAGAATAAACTTGGATACCTTTAAGTCAGAAAAACATATTACTAAAAGAATACATTTGATCTGGTTCTAAGATCAAGTCCCCTTTACATATGTGTGGGTGTATAAATAAGAAGCATCCATGAACTACTCTTTTAACCAAAGGTCTATTCTAAAAAGTGCAGTTCTGGATGTTAAACTGCTACTGCAACTACATTCCTGCTCCAAAACCACTTTTTCCTCCAGCCAAATTCTTACTGTTCTCCTTCATGGAACAAAAGGAGGGAAGGTTTATAGGGATAGATCTTGGACTTGGACTGGGAATGCACACACCATCCTCTACATGTCTTGACCTTTAGTGAGTGATGGTATGAACCCCCCTTAGATCTACAGACAGTCCTTGGGTTACAGATGGCCAAGTTATGGACAGCCCATATTTACAAGCTGCCCTAAAACCTATTAATTTAAAAAACTGAATTAAAGGCCCACTGCAGGAAATCATCCCCATCATGGAGGAAGTGGGAGATGAGGCCTCCAAAGGCACCTCCAGAGCATGCCTTCCTGCCCCCCTTTCTGGAGAGGGAAATCTCTCCAGCATTTCCTTGCTGCAAAGAGAAGGCACTGATTAATTGGGCATATGTAGGGATCCTGACCCCTAACTTCCACAAATGTGGAGGGCCAACTAAATGTGATCCAACTTAAAGAAGAATTTCTGTTTTATTAGAAATGGAATTTTTTTGTAACCCAGGGACTACCTGTACTGCTTTATATGCTTACCTGCGCTAGCCTAAAATTGACATAGCTGATTACTGACTACCCTGCAAAATTCTGTATAAGTGCAACTGTCATACCATTTCATGGTTGTCAAGTGCCATGCCTAAAATAACCCAATGGTGAATGATCCTTAAGATGACATATCTTAATTAAGCTCTTGGAATAGTCTCTTACATGGCTTCCTACATTTTAGATCAGTTGATAGATTTGTAGCATTGTGGCCCCTAGCTGTTAGATGTGAAAGTTGATGCACAATTTTCCTCCATATCTTCTATAACCCAAACTAGACACTTTACTACATTCCAGAGACTTGAAAGCCAACTCCTGTCATGTGAGCAATTATATGGTTCAGTTTATTACTGGAAAGAATAAGCAATTCAAAGTAACTTGGATACTTTTCTCCCTCCCCTAAATACTGGCAAGTATAGAGATATACACAAATTTAGTATATTTTTGGAAAAATTAACAATTGTTCTTCCATGGAGTAAGTCTTTAAACAGGCTTGTTGAATAAAGTCTTAATAATGGTGTGTTCATACTGAAAAGCTTTTTGTGAATCTACAAATTCCCTTCTGTCATTACCATAAAAAAACATAAAAAGTAAAATTTTGGAAGGTAGGCTTATGTCTAGGATTTGCAGAGAATGCAAACGCTGGGCTCTGAATAGCACTCATCAAGTGGTAAGAGAAATTACACAATTTTGTGCAAAGGCTCCAAGCAGCATAGAGTCTGCTGTTCAAAGATTCAAAATCCTGTGGCTTTCAAGAGTTCATTTTTTGGATCCTGGGTTAGAGTCTTTGATGCACATTTGTTGTTGCTTTAAAAACATGGTTATTTTCAAACACCACATTTCACCATGTCATGATCAAGCACTGGAGACATTATTTTCACTCATGTTACCAGTATTTCAATGTCAGCTGTTCAGATGTGCTGTAGTTATGTTGGAGGATATGGTTATGATTTTTCAGGAAATCAGTTGCAGAATTTCCCATTCATTTAGAAAGAGTAGGCGCTGGCAAACATCACAGTGGATGATGCGATAAAGTCAAAGGTAAATTTGGGTAAAACTAGGATTTGCCTCCTTGCCTTATGTGGGGATATGTTAAAGGGGAAAAAAAGATCTCATTCAGTTGTGTTAGATTTCTCATAATATTTTTCAGTATTTTAGTTTTCCACTTCTTTCAAGGGGAGACCCAATTACTCTTCCATCTGTAAGTGGGAATTTCTATCCAGGTGGTATGAAATTGTCAAACATTCTGCTGTCTTCCCAAAGCTCCATCATTAGCTAAGTTAAGATTAGTGGGTTTCAGAGACAGGAACTTCTCTGCTCCCAAATTTCAGAAAGAAGTAGTCCCCATTTTATAGGCAAAACATGCCTGGGAGTTAAACCTAACCCTGTGCCTAAAAACTTAATTGCATTTTCATGTGAATAGTAAAAAGACTCCTGTAGGCAGAAAACAAGATGATTGTCAACCTCCCCAAAAGCTGACACTTTCCTTATTGATGTTTTTTTTTTCTGTATTCTGAATTTTAACAAAGCAAAATGAAACAAACACAACCCAAACAAAAAAAGATGCAAGGAAAAAACTCTGAAAAAACAGTGATATGTCAATATTCCAATAACAGCACAAATCCAAATGGGTCAGTTATACATAAGCTTCAGAAATGGCAGATCAAATACCTATTCAATTCCTTCAAAAATGGCATCCATATGTCATCTGCTCAAATACTGAAAAGGTCTTTTAAGTATTTTATTATAAGAAATGAGTTGTAATCTTCCCATTGTTATATCAGTCTTTTAGCTGTCAAAAGGGCACAGAACATTAATGCTGAACAAGTTTTAATTTCCAAGAACCAATTACATCATTTAAAAGTACATGCACATCAGAAAATAACAAATCCTGTTCTACTATGAAGTGTATCTGAATTATAACTTCCAACCAAAAAAGAGGCAACTACAAAACATTGCCAAATATATGATTTAAAGAAATATCAGACAACTAACATTGCTTGACTTGGACAAATCTTTATTAATGAGAAATTGTGGGGAAAAGTAAACATAGAATGCAGGTTTCTTGTGATTATGCTGGCTGCTTCCTTCTGTAAGACTTTGATTTCACAGTTACTACCTCTATGGCTGGCTTTTAAAGTTGTGATATTTCAGAAAGGTATAGAAATTTAACAAATTTATTACAACATTAGCCTTTATCAATATGAAAATTCATTTTATAAATTATTGGTCTTTAAGGTGTTGCAAGACACCTCACTGCTTTTTCCTGCAATAGGCTAATCTTGTCACCTCTTGGAGCTTGACAGATGTTTAGGCTGACCTACTTTGAGTTAGGACTCTTTATTTAGTCGATTAAGGGCACAATCCTGTACAAGCTTAGATGTAAGAAAGGCCTACAAATCTCAGCATGCCCCACCCCGCACAGCTTTATGTTGCAAGCCTTACTTTGAACTCATGGGGTCTTGTTTCTGAGTAGATGAGCATCTAAAATGGGATGTGGGATAATTTTCACATCAAAAACTTGAAACCCTTCTCCCTGTCCCTCCTTGCAGTCATCATTTGATCTCCTTCCCCACAAGCCTGATTTCATAGGCATTTTCAGACAGAAAAGTGGGATTCAAATAGACTTAAGACCAGAAAATCCCATTCTGGTTCTACTGCATTTCATGCAGATTGGCACTTAGTAAACAAGTAATCTATGGGAATTCGTTTAGCTGGCTTGTCATTCTTAACATATCACTGATTGCATGCACCTTCAGTGATGTGTTTTCTTCGGATCAATCAAACTGAGTGGTGAAATGCTCTATATCGTGGGTCCTCAAACTAAGGCCCACGGGCTGGATCCGGCCCACCATGCCCATTTAACCGGCCCATCCCACAGGTTTTGCACTCACCGGGCACATGCGTGGCTTGCTCAAGAGGAGGTCATTTGGACTAGCTTGGAGAAAACGATCTCCTCATGAGCAAGCCGATGCCTCACTGTGTGCGCCCAGCAGCAGCTTGCTCGAGGGGAGATCATTTTGGACTCGTGAGCAAGCTGGCGCCTCGCCCCACACACACCCATCCCTCATCTCACCCTCACCAGCCCCCCCCCCCCCCCCCCCCCCACTGGCACTGGCTTGGCAGCCCACGCACACTGCTGGCACCTGTCAACTGGCCCCCCTTTAGAAAAAGTTTGAGGACCCCTGCTCTATATCTTTGGGAAAGTTGTGAACCTCCCCGACAAACTGGATTGCAATGCCAGTCCTCACCAAGGTGGGAAGAAAAGAGCCTGGGGTGATGGACCCCGGGGAGGTAAGGCAGGGGACAAAGCAGGATGCAGCTCCTGCTCCTTTCCACGTAAAATCCCTGAATTGGGCAGGCCAATTGCTAAGCAAACTGTGCCTTCTGGTTTGGGCCTCCCTAGAAACCGAGAGGACTGTTAGTGAGTGTTATTGCCAAGAATATTATGCAAGCAGACCCAGGAGTATTAAAGAAGAGGGCTGGATAAGTAAAAGGCCAGACTCAAAACTAATTGTATTTTTTCATATGTCACGACAACGGAGCTGTGAAGACCATGCTGATAAATCCCATTATTTATTTTTGTGCCTCAGTTATCCTCAACTTTAAAGAAAACAAATGTACTGGGAGCATCAAAGAATCGTGGGGGTTAAGAATGACTTCCCACAGCAATATTGGAGGGGGCTGCTGCTGTTAAGAATAGATGAGCCTTCGAATATTTATACTTCTGTATATGTCTGATAGTTGTGACTCCATTTTCTCTGAATTAAAACTGGTGGCACCTTTCACCCTTGCCTCAAATGGTTTAGATAGAAACAGAGCAAGTCAGAAGGGGCCTCCTGGGCCATCTAGTCTGATTTCTAGCTCCAGCTGGCTCCATTCATGACATGCCTACCATGTGCATGTCCATTTATAATGGTTTAAAATTACCTACCCTGGGTGGAACCCACACCTGCCTGGAAGAAAGCTAGCCTAGAGAAGAGGCTCACTGTGAGACGCAGTGGGCAGTCTCTTCTGTGGATGAGTGACGTTGCCATGTTCTCACATTGGGAGGGTATCCACTTGGCTCTTGGAATAAGGCAAGGCTAAAACTTTTGCAAACCATGTAGCCTCCCTT